AATTATTCTCAATAACTTTTCCATTTTAAGTTACTTAACAATTATTATGTTTATAAGTTGTTGAAAATGTCAATTATTAAGTGAATTACTATTCCTACTTCAATATTAGATTTTACTTATACCAAAGTTTGTTATAATTATTTAACTATTTCTTCATTTTTTTCATTTGACTTTTAAAATCTTTCCAACTATCCTTGTTTTTCTTTAAGATTAACTAAAAATTCACTTTCTATTTAATAAAATTTCATTTTTACTTTATTATTCAAGTTCTTTTACTTTTACTCGTAATACTTCCTTTTCATTTCTTAAATCTTATATTATTTATATCTAATCTTTATCCTTTTATTTAAGTTCAATTATTGTTTATTAGTTCGATAAGTTGGTCTTTTCACTTTCTGTTAGTTGATTTTACAATTATTAATTATCTTACTAATTCTATTTGAGTTCAGCCTCAACTTTATCAAAATTTGTTAGTTTCTTCATTATTGAAAAATCCTTTTCAATCTTAGACACGTATTGATTAAACTAATTTTTAGTAATAGAGCTATACTTGCTACAATTATATATCTTTAAATTCTATTGATAAGTTACTTATTGTTTTCATAAGAAATTCATACTAATTTTATGCTTCATTCAAAATATCTTAATATATTTATAAATGATGAAGTTATAAGTTTAATTATTAAATTGATTATTAATTAGAAATGTGATTTTCCTCTTGAAAAAATTCACTTTTTTAACCATTGATTTCAGCAATATTAGAATTTTATTCATTGATAATTTTATTAATCTTGTTGTGTGCAAATATATCATTTTATAATAATTTTTGAAAATTAGTTGAAATTATTTCCATTTAATTAAAGTCTTCCTTCTATATATTAAATTGTTTCTCAGTTAAAGCTTAAAATTTATCTTTCTAGCTTAATATTTCAGATAACTCATTAATTTATTCAGCATTCATTTAATAGATCATATTTTCATTAAATTCATTAGACTCATGTTGAGAAAACATTGAATATTGAGTGTTTACCCTATTTATAATGTCTGAAATTGAAGAATTATACTTTTCTTTAATTTCTTCAAGAGTTTCAATTATTTATCTTTATTTAAAACATCTTAAATCCTTAAATTGTTTAATTTGATCACTAGTTTATCCCAAATATTCATTCCACTTAAAATTTGCATCACTTAAAGTTGTATATTTAATTGGATCATTTGATTATATACATTCGACACAAGCCTATCTTGAAAGTTTAGTTTTTTCAGGATTTAAGTTTAACATGATAATTTCTTTTCCATGTTTATTACATTAAATATTCAAGCTTGGTGTTTTCTATTAATGTATAATATAATAATAATTACTAATGGATTTTCCTCCTTTTTTGAGAGAGATTAGATTTACTTTATTTCTTTATGGTCTTCTTCCACCTTTGTGCTTTCTAAAGATTCGTTGATTTAGTTGAAAATAGGACATTTTATTATAGATTACAATTACTATTATACAGAATCTATATAAGAATTATTATCCATTGATTTCTGGAATTCCTTAGGAACTTCAAAACTAAATGATCCTTTGTAATTCTTTGATAAAACTTTAACATCTTCCTCAAAAGAAGTAATTTAGGTTTTGGATTCCGATTCTTCTAGCTCTTTCTCCATAAGATTTATTTTTTAATCTAAGTTACACTAAACTTTATCTAAGGTGTTGTTGATTGAAAATCTCAATTCTTTTACTTAGGTTTGAATTTATTTAAAGTTTTCGATCTTTCTTTAATACTCTTTGATTTTACTGTTCAATTACTCACTTTTCATTTGCTTAATCATTATTTTTGTCTCTTCAACCAAAGCCATGTTTTAAATATCAATTTTCTCCATTAAACACTTGATGCAAAGATATTTATCCTCATCAGCAGTAGATTATTTTAAATCTATCGTCAAAATCTCTAATTTGTGCTTTTAGCATAATTTCTTATCCAATTCAGATGACATTATTATATTTTATTATAATAAGATATTCAATTTTTAAATCCTTTATATATTAAATTATTTATGATTATATAAAAATAATTCAAAATTCAGCTCATTTTGATGCCCAATTAAATTAAAAGGTAGAGAAAACTTATTGTAAACTAAAATTATACCTAAAAAATTAATATATAAAGAGAGTAAACAGATCTGAAATAGATGAATGTAAAGTTGGATATAAATTGAAAAAAGAATTAGTTTCTATTTCACAAAGACAATCCTATTCAAAGTCAAGTAGAATTTTTCAAAAGAGTAAATTTTTTAGTATCTCTTATATTGTTTATTTGACTAATTTATCATAAAATAAATATAATGCTTATAAAAAATCACCTCTAAACAGCAAACTACTGTAATCCCTACAAAAAATACTTATTTATTTAATGAAATCATTCTAACAGGTAAAGATTTTTATTTTAGAAGCAGGATATATAATTTATTGTAGCATAATTAAAAATTTTCCTTATTTAGAACATTTAGATTCAGAGAGTTTAATAAGTTTACTTTTCAATCGGGTAAAATCATTTCAACAAAAATATATTATTTTTTAAGTTAATTCTTGATGAAAAAAAATGTAATACAACTGATCATTTATAAAGAAGAAAATTTTAAGCTACTCTGTTGAGGAAATAAATATTGTGTTAATCAATACTAATTATTCGAATATCTATACAACTAAATTTAAGCCTTTATTTCAATTTTTATAAGGTCTCTTGTAAAACCTTATTATCAGATTAATTTTCCAAGTAAATATCAATTGTAAAATTATATTTTAAATTTACTCAAAATTTTACAAAATCCTCAAATTTTTCTATTAATCATCAATTTGAATTTTAGTGAATCCTTGATTACATATGTTAAAATTTTCTCATATCTATTTGCAATTTTTGTTTTTATATATTTTAAGAATTCTCGTTTATCAATATGAGCCAGATGATGATTAAGTTTAGTTAAGCCTGATTCTTTTTTTAATGAAGTAGGTGGTTAACGTTCGATAAGTTTATCAGTTTAAGTGGATATATCCTTCTCCTTCCATAACTTAATTTCTTAACTTTAAGCATTTGTAAAACATTTAAATTACAAATGCTCCTCTTTCTAAGTTTAATTATTCACCTGAATTATTATGTATCTACCACCATCATTAGATCTATTTAATTATTCATCTAAAGTAACTTTTTTTTATTTCTTAAAATCTATTTTGCTGTATTTTAAAGAATTTGTTAAATTTCATTCTAATTAATTTATATGAGTATAAAATAAATGAAAAACATCATCATTTATTTAATCCATAATTATAGGATATACTATATAATTGGTACTAGAAAATAGTAAATAAATCTACTTTTTTCTCTTAAATATATTTATTCATTAATTGATATTTAAATCAGCAAACACTTGTAGCNTTATTCATCTAAAGTAACTTTTTTTTATTTCTTAAAATCTATTTTGCTGTATTTTAAAGAATTTGTTAAATTTCATTCTAATTAATTTATATGAGTATAAAATAAATGAAAAACATCATCATTTATTTAATCCATAATTATAGGATATACTATATAATTGGTACTAGAAAATAGTAAATAAATCTACTTTTTTCTCTTAAATATATTTATTCATTAATTGATATTTAAATCAGCAAACACTTGTAGCAGGAACTCAAAATGATTTATCAAAAATGGTACTGCAAATTATTAATATTTCATTTCACACTAGAGTTAATAAATTATATTTAGAGATCAAATATTCTTCTAAAATTCTATTCCATAGAGATAAGGAGGTAAAAAATTGATTATTCTTGTAATAAGGCATAATATTTGCATTGATTTATATTAAAAAAAATATTATTTTAAGATTTATTTTGAAAAAAAATATAATTGTATTCAATTTTACATAAATAATGCATTACTATTATAAATTGTTGATGGTAAATTTGGCTATTATTAAAGTGTTAATTGAAGCCTTTTAGAATGCACAATATTTTGAGATATAGAGGACATGACGAACCCATTAAATAATTAGAAGAAAGCATCATTTATAATATATTGTTTACTCCTTTACAAGTGGCCTTTTTTATTGATTAAAAATATTCTCTCTATAAAACAAGAGTTGAATTTTCATTTAATCCCAATTTAATAAAATTCATCTTGAACACTTTTATTTTAGGATAAATTAAAACATCATCCACATTTTAATGATTTATAATAAATTTCCCTTTTTTCAATGCGTTCGATAAAGAACTTTTTGAGTCTAGAGAATTTTAAAGACAATTTTAAGAAGATAAAACTGAAAATTATTTTATTTTAATTCCTGAATTGATTTAAAAATAAAACCTACTTAATAAGTTTATACCAAAAGATAAATCAAGTAATATATATTAAAGTTTTTGATATATTTTCACAACACCTATAAAATTGGTTTAAAATTATTATTTGTATTATTTTAAGAATAATTGATAGATTTATTTAAAAATTGATCTTTAAAAGTCTAATAAAAGGTTGTAAATATTCATTTAAATTTATAAATAACTTTAATTTATTATGTATATTTTATTGAACATTTATGATGTTCATTAAAAAATTTAATTTGCTTTATTTTGCTACTTTAAATTTATTTCCATTTTCTGTCCCTAATTACTACTTATATATAATTTAGGATAAAGTATTTTATTCTGCGATTGCTTAAATAATTATTCACTTTAATATTACTTGTTTGTTAAATATTTCATTTGCCATTCTTTCACTATTTTTTTTTATATAATTTAAAAAGATTAATGTATTTCCAGTATTTGCTGCCCAGTACTCGCTTACTCATTCCTATAATTAATATAATATTTACTTGAATAATGGAAATATTTATCATTACATAAACATTTTTATGGTAAAAACTAAAAATGACCAAATATACTCATTACTGCCCGCAAATTCCATTTATACAATAAATCCACAATCTTGTTAATAGTAGGCCTTAGCTTCTTCAGCACTTGGCATGAAGAATTCTCATCCTTTTTTATGCATTCTAAAGTTGTTGAACCAACAGCTTTGGCGGAAGAGACTTCAGTTCCATCTGCAGTTGCAGTACCTTCTAAAAGTCTGAATCTATGAGCTACGTTTGGATCTTCAAGTTTAGCATTCACTGAAAATTAAACATAATTAGCATTAATATTAATATTAAATGTATATAATGTTTATCTAGGTTGATTTTGCTTAAATCTTTTATTGGCATCATCACCTGTAATAGATAAAAATCAAAAATAGATATTTCAATAAAATGAGTTTATATTTTTTGTAGTAAATCTGTATTATACTATGAATAAATGGAAAAGTGATAAGTACAAAAAGTGTCATTAAGCAGACTTAGAGAGCTAAAGATATAATTTGATTATTTAACTTTTCACTCTCATATTTAATTGTAGATAAAAATATTGAAATTGAACACATTTAACCTGTTGATAAGTCAAATTTATTAAATTTTGTCATGATATAAAGCCTCTTGTTAATTGCTAATAGCTAATAAATAATTAGACTCAATCCTATTAATGATGCTTTTAAATGTATATTAGTCTCAAAATATGTCAAAATGAGTATCATTATAGCTCTTTTACTTAATTTTATTTATTCCCAATAATAACTTTCTTTTTCATATTCATTATAAAGATAACATATATGAGGTCTGAATATATGATTATCCAAATTATTTCTTTTAAAATACATTAATAAAAATAATGAAAGAGGAATCAAGCAGCCAAAAATTATTAATCCAGGAAGAATTAAATACATAATCCATTAATGATGAGTCTCTGTATTAAATTTTAATGTTAGATCTCCAGATATATATTATATGTTAGATATTTCTCTATAAGAAACTACGGAACATAACCTAATATTAATTTAATTTAATACATTTTGATAAATCCTGCATAATTGAAAATATATAAACAAAGTAAGGTATTAGAAATGGTGTCTAATTTAAATTTTTATTTAATGATTATAGAAAATATTATCAATCCAAAAATGATGACAATAAATTGCAATAATATTAATATCAAAATTAGAATAATTTTGGAATAGATAATCTCAACACTTGCTATTTCAGATAAATAACAATCTAAATTATTAGCCATTGAATAAGATTAATTACTAGCTTAATCAACAAAGTTGAATTAAAAGGAAAAACTAATATTCAATGAAAATATAACTGAAAATATCCATAAATAATTTAAGAGCATTTTTATTAGAATACCCTCAAGATCTAAAATATTAAAAATAATACCTTGATTTAATTTAAAAAGAATTTAATTAAAGCTTCCTTAAATTTTGTATAATAAGAACAAATCATTTGATTTTCCAATGCTTTTCAAAGTAAGAATGATCGAAAGTATAGCCCTAAGATAATTAATATAACTTACCAAATTGTATTTAAAATGAAAGGAAGAATGCTATCTTGCCCACTAAAACATAGAAAACATTCAGAATTTTATTAATTTTTAATGAATTTTCCATTTCCTTGAACATT